TCCGCGTAACAGAAGAAGAAGGTATTACTTGACAATGAATGTGCGCCCGTTCAAGGATCAAAATCATGAGTTTCCTCCTGCCATCAGGCAGCCTGGAATATCATGATTAATTTGCGTGCGGGCATATTTCAGGCTGATTAATCCTTGCGGTCCTTTCTTCCTCCCCGTGGGACTGGCCGCAGCGTCGCTTGTCGCACTCCACCCCTTGGTGCTCTAACCTGAAAACCCAGTTTCGCGGAAAACGCCCTTTCCGAAGCAGGGCACAATCGAGTCAAGGTGAGACGCGTCTGCAAGATTCGAGGTTCCCCGTCACCTGCCAGCGACAGTACGGTGACGTCGAAAACGATTGGCTGAAAATTGCGCAGATGATCGGTTAGGCGTTTCAGGAGCTGAAACCGCTCAATTTTCGTGCACCGTTCGCCTCAGATTTTGCTTCAGTGCATTTAGATAAAATAGCGCGCCGGAAAAACAACGCAGCCAAGGCTAAGGCTGTTCATACACATAGAAAGTATGGTTCTTGTATCTATTGAGGACAGGAAGTTGGTGCCGCTTTTTGATTGGTCTACGAGTTTTGGGCTTTTGTGGAGCTTTGAAGGCCTTTCGTACAATGGAGATGTTGCATGTGTGAGAAATTTGCGATTTGACTATTGATTCTTTTGTAAAAAATCAAGAGAAACACGATAGTGCCACTGGTGTTCTCTGAAATCAACTCCCAAGCTTAAAAAAAGCTCTCAAGTTGAGACCAAAGTGGAGGGGATATCCCACGCTATCCTGAGAGTCCACCTTTACATCAAGAAAAACTCTCGATGCAAAGATAGGGAGTAATTACATTGACAGGGCTGCCACTTTATTTGGGGACTCCAAAACTGAAAACACGGCAACCCTGCTAATGTATTTGCTCCCTATCTTTGCATGAAGAGTTTGCCTTGATGTAGAGGTGGACTCTCGGGATAGCGTGGGATATCCCCTCCATTTTGGCCTCAACTTGAAAGCTTTTTTTGAGCTCGGGAGTTGATTTCAGAGAAAACCAGAAGTACCATCGTGTTATTCTTGATTTTTTACATAAAAATCAATAGTCCAAGTGCAAATTCCTCACACATGCAACATCCCATTACGCAGTTAAATTTCGCCTCAAAGAGTTTATGTCACCCCTCTTACGAAAAAAGAAACACTCATTGTAAAATTCACCAATCTGAGTTGAGTATATTTAGTTCAGATTTGAAATTTTGGACTGAATATTGCTGAGTCAGTTACGCGCAAATCGTATTGTGATGAGTGCTCGCTCAGAGTCGAATAGTTGACTGAAAAAAATCAACCGATGGACTTGGTAAAAACGGAATCATCTTACGCGAATTTCTTTCGTGGCAATGTAACAACAGGTACCAGAAGAAGAACGCTGTGAAAACGGCTGTCAACGGAGTCGTCAAATTTTGCCGGATGCACTGCATGCCAAAATTCGACTAACTTGTCGACAACCGTTTTCTCAGTGATGGAAAATTCTGTAATGAACCGACATGGATAGTTTGCCGAGGGTTTCAAAGCTGTATCTTAACTATTCACCGCGAGACTTAGAACGCACTTTCAATTTGCACCGCAGAAAATAGTTTCATGTTCATGTAACCGAGCTTTCAAACCAAACTGAACTCTGAAAAACGCTGTGTTGCATAAGATTGCGGCTCCCTATAAACCAAATAGTACGGTCAACATACGTACAGATCATACGGCGATTTTTTCTTAGTGAGATACAAAGTGGGCCCGTTGCACACTTCAGCTGAAGTAAAAAAAAAAATAATTAATTTTATAGAAAATGGCTCAAAAATTACGATGAGCGCATCGGAAAAGTCTGAAGCACACTCCTAATCTCAATCTGCGTAACGACAGAGCATAGGGGAGACTTTCATGAGCCGGCCCTGCGCCGCCCGCAGCGCGCATGGCGCATGACCTGCCTTACATTATTAAATTTCATCTAGCGTTGAGAGTTTAATTCACTTATTACTTCACACAGTTACCCGACCAGTGTGTAATTTTAAAAGTCGAAAATTAAAAAAAAAAAAGTACACGATGTACGAGCTTCTCCATCAGGGAGTTCTCCCCACAAGAAATCATTCACCATCCGCCCGTCGGGAGCGCCACGCACTGACGCCTTCAAACATAAGGGGCTACCTCACGCATTGCGCAATGCTTGAAGTATCCCCTTAGGTTTGTAGGCGTCAGTGCGCGTTTCGAGCTGGCAGCGGCAGCGCGCCATAAACTTGCCCACAATTAATAAGTCAAGGTGTTAAAATGTAGCCAATTTAACATCAAATTCGAAATTAGCGACTAAAAAAACATCACTTACGAAACTTACGTGATCTTTCAATTATTAATCGTCTTATTTCTTCCTATTCTTGAGTTTTGGACCATAGCGCGCCGCGACTGGCGGCGCTCATGAAATTCTCCCGTGTGCTCAATCTTCTGCGTAAGCAATGTGCGTCTCTTTTAAGCTTCCCGCTCCCAAAACGATACTGCGGCACAGAGCGGCCCGATTATTGAAACTATGTCAGCCCGACACGACAAGACATAGCCCTATCTCAACCATGCAATATATGGCAATTCGAATGTCTTATCGGGCTGGTTTAAATTTCAATAATCGGCACGCAGCAGGTGAAAATTTCGCAAGAGGAGTTGTTTCATCCAACCCTTCCGCACTAAGGTGCTACGCAATATTCAACATGGCCGACAAAAACCCGACAAAACACGCGCAGAGAGAAAGGATTTTATCCACCGCCACGTAAATTAGTACATTTTCCTGTCGTTGATAAGGACCATGGTGCTTCCTCACGATTTGCGCGCGGAAGCGTCAGCCATGCTGAATTTTGTGTAGTATTCATAGCTGCGCAAGGGTTGGATGGAACGACTCCTCTTAAGAATTGTTCACCTGTGCCGTTTTTGAAGTGGGGCGCTTGAAAAACGCGTATACCCTACGCAGAATGTGAAGTTGGGAGTGTATTTTAAACTTTCCCATTGCGCTCATTGTGATTTTCGAGCCTTCCTTTACCAAAAACAACTCCTCGTTTTGCTCTCGCTGAAGTTTACAACAGGCCCATTACTTTCATAAATAATGCACCGAGTTCGATCTCTTTCCAGGTCAAGAGTGCGTGTCAGAACCTTCACCCGAAAGCGACACTTTTTCGGGGAACAGTCGTATCTTTCAACTTGGGCAGGTACACGCTTGCACTCGACCCAAAGATTTTAGTGCCAAATCTTTTTTGCATCTCGCGATCGCAAATTGCCCTCCTCTCCCACCGGCGCAGCCACCACGGTTCCGATGACTGACACAGCCGTAATTCAGGCGCGGCTAGTTAGTACCTTTCGAGATGTTTCCCTCAAGTCGGCAATTAGTTAATTATCATCTCTAGAGGCCCGGCCAGAGAGGGAATTGGTGCAATTATCCGACTCTGCCAAAACAATTTGTTGTTTTGGAAGTTTCACGGTTGCTTTTTCAATTTTTCGGCACCGTAATTAAAACGCCTTTGCCTCCGCTTGAGTCGGCGTAGTCGGAGCCAAAATTCATCAAGTGCATTAGAATTGTTGTCCACTTCGCTGAGCGTCTTTGTTTCCGCGCAGAGCAACGTCACATTTTTATGTGGATTTGAGGGACGATGATTTGTCGAATTTTCAAGAATGATGGTGCAATCGTGTACACGTATTGTGAACACGAGGGAAAGAAATAAAAATCCCGATGAATAGAACATGAAAATATGACAGTCCTGCCCTGAAAAAAAAAAATCTCGGTGTATTTACTAAGAAAAGGGTAAAATTACCAAGAATTCAGGGTTCTATTTGATCCCACTTTTTTCTTTTCTTAACCATTTATGGAATTGGTAATTTTACCGAGAAATCTCGGTAAAACTATTGACTTTCTCGGTAACTTTACTGGACCCCGGTAAAAACGCCAATATTTTTTATCAACTGTGGTAGAATTACCGAGATAAAATGACAAAGTTACCGGGAATTGATTACCAATAAAAGTGGTATTCTCACCTGAAAAAAAAATAGTATAAATACCGGTTTTTAGGTAAGCTTACCAGTCTGTCTTGGTAAAATTACCAATAATTGGTACAAAAAGTAAGATGGTAAAGGTACTAACGGACCTTAGTAAAAACGCCGAGAATTTATTTTCAGTGTAGTACTAATAATTTTTTTTTAAAACTAAATTTGCCGTGAAAATGTGTTGCATGCAGTAACCATGAGATATGATACGCACGACTACGGAAAGTTTTTCCGGTCTGTCAACCAAACGTTAAAAATTCCAAAACCATCCCGCACTTGAAGGAAGGAAATAATATGCTTATTTTTAAACACAATGTTTCAATACAGCCCTAACAATACATCAAACGTGCAGTACTTTTCTAGGTATTCGACTGAGCGATAATGGAATGGCGCCGGAGCAATCTTTGAAAAACTTTCTTAATACATCGATCGTTACGACTTTAAAGCTACTTAACTTATTTCGAGAGGAGAAACCTCCTCATTCCTCCCTCGCTCTTTATGAGGTAGTTTCCGCTATCAAGGTTTCCCCGAGTTTAAAAATAACTTTTCCGCCTTATGCAGCTGTCTTGGAAAAATGACTAAAAACCTTCCATAACATCCACGCTCCATTAACGAAACAAAAATTGAAGTTTTCCTGACAGTTTTGAATATTAAGGCCTCTACTTCTAATTTTCAAAGTACTACCCTCGCTCTTCCATTGGCTGATGTTCGAGATCCTGTTGACAATGATAGAACATCTGATGGCAATTTTAAAAAATTAGTTGACAATTTTATTTTATTGTTTACAAGAGTTAAAAATAAATCATAAAGCGTCATACACCGGTAAAAATGTGTCACTTTCGAATTAATTGAAGTCTTAAGTACATCGGTTCTAAAAATATGATATTGTATACATTCATCTATATTCTGTAATTTCCTCCTTCTGCCTCCCGCCTCCCCTCTTCAATTCTCCCCTTCTTCCTTCCTCTCTCCCTCCCTCCTTTCTTCCCCCTCTCTCTCTCCCCTTTTCTCTTACTATGATTTCTTTTGGGCTTCTGCCTTCGAAAATAAATAATCTCTCATACTTTTGAACTCTCAAATCTACTACCCTTCTCGTCTCATACACGAACGCCCCCACCGTACATGTTCAACCCAAACATGCCTCGGCCGTGATTGGCAGTCGAGTTTGTGGTGATCGAGCGTGTTCGAGTGGCAATTCACTGTGAAAACGTTCCGGCCGCGCCAAATTGGCGTCAATCGTCCGGACGATTTGAGATGAAACTCCAAAATTACGAGACACTTTGCCAACATGCCCACCTAGGCCCTGCCAAGTACTAGGTGTAACTCAGGTCGACATGGGCCTCTTTGAAGTTGCCAACGAGGCGATCTTTGGTCAAATTTCTAGCTCAAAACTGCGCGGGGCATGCGAGTTTTATCGCACAATAAGGCAATTTTACGAACAACGTTGCAAGATGGTGAGCGATATTCACCCACTTTGCCCGGAGCTGAATGGGAGAAGGTGGGTCTCGGGCACCGTCTGGCAAACGGCCGATGAAGACACCGCCGATTGAAATCGTCTGACCTCAAGTCGGAATGCCAAAAAAATAAAAATCTGGGCCCGGAAACAGAAAAAGTCCTTGTCCGGAACTGCCCTGCCACCACAGCCGAGACACAGCAGGGCAGTTTGGTTTAGTGCCCGTTGGAAAAGGCTGCGTTTTGCTGCGACTCCGCGTACCGAAGTTTCCACCGGAAAAGCGACTAAATTTAGCCCGCGCGGGACAATAAGTGCGAGTCAGCTGTGTTTGTTGACATAACCCCAAAAGTGCCATCCAAGAGCGGATCTTTTGACCTTGCCCCCCCCCCCTTAATCCCCGGCCGCTTTTGAGTTCGTGACGCTCACCCCCCGATCATTTTTTCGGTTTTTGTGTCGGCATTGGCAAACTCACCACCTGTCCAATTTTTCTATATGACTTGGCAAGTGAACCCGGAGTGTTACCCGGGCGTGCGCAAAATAATGTAATCCAACGCACTCTTTGCGACCGTTGACCTTGAACAATATTTCGGCAACAGTGCGAAAACTATTTCACGGTCCTCTTTTCCGTTATTTACCTTTCCAGTGATTGTAGCTGCATATGAGGTCATGACCAGTAGCATGCATCAAATGATGTTCTGACTCTGTAATGACTCAGTCACTTTCCGGTCGATTTAGCACCATTAGCGCCACTGTGATGTGGGTTAAGAACTTGAATTTTTTGGCAGTACAAACGGATTTCCTCTTGTGCGCCTCAAAAAATTATTTTCATCTCTGCTGACAGAGTCCTCCACTTTCTATAATTAAACCCAGCGTCTGCAAAATTCAACGTAATTATATTTCTGCGAACTCTGCGCCGGGTTCGTGGATATGTTCGTTTCCGAAGCTGTAGAAGTTACCGTTCCGAGCCCGCTTGCGTTTTCTGCACGTAATGAGATAAAAAGATGCCGTGAACGTTGTATGAGCTTGTAACAGCTCTTACTTTCATTATTGGAAGAATAAACCTAGTGTAAACAGCAAATGAACTTCTGCCACTATCAAACATTTCCATGAACCCTTCATTGTAGCCACAGTATCCAATTGGATCGTAAAATTCACAACGAAAGTGAAAATTGCACCTGGGATATTATACTGACATATTTTAAGAACTCGGCCACGCTCTCTGCTGAAATATCCGGCAAATCTGTATTGCAATTAAAACGCCACAGTTCCTGACTGTTTTATGGTTTTTTTTCTCTGGACGATTTCCCCAGTCAGATTTTTATAAATTAAACTTGTGCTGAATATCTTTAAAATACCAATATAACCCAGTTCATTACTGCACTAAGCTGTGTACCTATTCAATTTCATCATATTATGCCTTAATCTCTGCCTGTAAACCCTCTATCGTCGAAAATGGGGTTAATTCTTTCCGCAAGTGCTGTGTATGTCGGCGTTGTGGAGTTCTTGTCCGTCATTGATCGTATACAAAGGTCAATTAAATTTGCAAACGAACATAAAATTGAAAGTGAGGCAGTGGAGAAACTACCTTACTCTCAGATTGAACAGGATTCAGCTGAAGTTCTAAATCAAAACCCAGTGGAATTTGAAAGGTTAGCAGAGATTACTTACCACAAAAGCAACGTAAGTTTTGAGGAAGACAAGTCTAATTATGTCACCACCGATGCTGTGGCTGCATTGGAAAATTCCTGCACGAGTGGGCCAATGCCTGCAGAAGGAGAACTCACTTTCGAGAGTAAAAGCGAAACATATGTATCCGAAGAGACTGATTGTGAAATTGATTCACATAAGTCTAGTCACACTAATAAAAATTCCAACTCAAAATGCCCAGAATCTGTTGAAATTGTTGTCAAGAATGAGAATCAGAACCAAATAAGAGATGAAAATGAAAACAATATGGAAATTAAAAAAATTCCCGTGGACTTGAGTGAAGATTTATCTAAAATTAACAGCGCGGTTTCTCTTGAACAACTCGAATCTACCTCTGAACTTTCAAGTATATGTGACGTAGGTGGGAGTCAAAATGAAATGCAAACTGCAGACTCAAAAGAAAGGGCCTCTGATGAAATTGAAAATCGGTCTGTCGCTATCAATGAATCGATGGAAAAAGAGCTCGGCGCAAATTTAGCAATTTTAGAGGAAAACAAATTCACCTCGGGAGTAACAGATGAAAATGCAGAAGTTCTAATGGAGGACATCAAGAATGATATCAACAACACTTTCCACGATGATTTGCCGCAAAGTGAAAACATACCTCAATGCAGAATGATACATGTAAAAGAGAGCACAACTGACGATAAGCCTAGGGAAAATGATGTGCAAGACGAAATACCAAAAAGAGAGGGAAATTTAAGGGAAGCGGAAGGAAATATTGAGCACGGAAACGGATGTGACGTTGGACGAGAAAACGGAAGTGATATCGGGGGAGGAGTAGACGTGAGCATTGATAGTGAAAGTCATTTCGCCAGAGGTTCGGAAAACTTTAAAACTGACCGCGAATCTTCCACTACTAATTCCAGGTTTCAAGAAAACGAGAATGTCTGTTCCGAAATTGATGCGAATCTTATTGAACAATATAGAACTGACCAGTGCCAAAATGAACAAGAAGGGGTTGCTTCAAGAGTTGACGGATGTAGCAACGGTGTGAATGTGCTGACGGATACTATCTTTGAAGAAAATAGCGAGGGAAAGCATTTGGAAGAAGGAACGATTGCTGATAAGATCTCAACGGGTAGTTTGAAACCCCAGCAAGCCCTAAAAGTTTCCACTATTAAGGATGAAATCTGTTCAGAGACTAGCAATCAAAGTTCTGAAGCTAATGAATCCATTAATTCGAGTAATTCAGATGAAGGGCAAAGCGACAGTATAAATTCAAAAGATGATATCAATAATGAAAGAGCTACATCTCAATCCGAGCAGCGTGTAAATGACAGTATCGATGATAACTCTACATCAGATAGTGTAATTGACAACGTTCCTAACACACAAGTTTCAAGTCAGTTGGTTTCTGATCAAATTCATACAAATATATGTAATGATTTCGGCAGCGTTTCAGTGAACAACAAAAATAATAGTGTGCATTCATTTGAAAGCGACAAGGATAGTTGTGACGCTATACTTGATGCAAATAATGAGGAAATTGTTAATAAATTTCCCGAGTCAGTAGAAAATAATTCCAATAATCTTTCTGGTATTGGAAAATCAGCTGATGATCGGTTCATTGATCCTCATAGCCACTTTATAGATGATTCATTTAACTCTGTAGACGAATCTTGCGATCACAACAAAACAAATGTAGATACTGATGATCATTCCACTGAGTCATCGTTACTACCCCTCGAATCAAACAGCTGCCAAAATGCACCAAATACTGCTTCTAACTCGGTAAGATACCCAGAATCGTCTAATTCCAGTGATTCAGCCGCTGTAAAAAGCTCGAGAGAGTCTCAGGAAATTTCCAAAGATTCAACCTCTTGTTCTCGAAGCGATTCGCAAATATCAGTCGTAAGACCTCCAGAGAATGAAGGATATGAAACGCAACCTATAAGTTATTCGAAAAACGAACGACAAAGAACTTCAAGTCCCTCGGAAGCTACTTTCTTAAGTACGAACGACAGGTCTATCCCTGGATCTCCTCTCTTCCAAGGGCCTGCCCCTAGAACTATCTGTGAAAATGATATCTCTGAAAGTATATCACCAAAAAAAACATTCGAGGACGATTGTTCCAGCAACGCAGCTCAGGAGCCTTCTGATGCTCAGTCGGAGAATCAGCAAGAATCAGTGAGTGAACTTTGAACATTTTTAGGGGAGATGTTTTTGGGGAAGGGAAGTTTGGGAGGGGGAGAATTTCGTCTTCTTAGTGCTTGGTTTTACTCTTATGTATGTAAAGCCACTACTTATACTTATACTTGCAGATATTGATCAATCGTTTCAATTTTTTGTTGCGTTTAAATGTAATGAACAAACGTCGTAAGAAGCAACGAAAAACTTCGTATGGTCTCATGTCTCATTTTCTCTGAGCTCAGATGGAAAATTTCACAAAAAATTAGGTTTATTTGAAATTTAAATGAAATATTATTAAATTCTCCTGTGAAATTTTAGTAATTTTAAATTTCAAGCTATTTTTTATGAAACTTCAGAAGTTTTGTAAAATTTCATTGAATTTCAAGGGCGATCCGAAAAAAAAAAAAAAAATTCTAAAATTCTCTACTTAGAATTGTTTTTTCTGGAGATTTCTTGTTGAAGTGAATATTGTCGTTAAAATAAGTGACATTTTAGTTCCCAATTTCCCTGAGGAAACGATGCTTTTCTATCACTCAAACAGAGTAGGTAACATCACTGCCCTTTGCATAATTTGAACTGCTCATCTTTTAAAGTTTTTCCCAACTTCCTTTCCAAGTTTATTTTCAATGAACGTATCATATGTTTTTGATCCAAAAGCGTTCGCGCTTGGCTGCGTGCTTCCCCTTCCTGCCTTCGCTGGCTCTGGGGTATCGTAACACCGAGTCCACCTGTTTGGAGTCAGAGCGACCAAAACAAATCACGCGCTACCTTCGCGATGAGTGATGGCGGAAATCAAAAGTGTTAAATTCAGCCTGCCAAGCGAACAAGACACCACCGGCGCCGTACCTGACTCTTGCCAACCGTAAAATTTACGAACGGTTTCAACCGCTTAATCTATAACACGTGCGGCATGTCCGCTCTACCCGGTAGCACTGTTGCGAAAAAAAAAAAAAAAAAAAAAAAAAAAAAAAAAACATGTTCATTCAGTTATTCTATTTTTCTGGTCATATGCCTGTAAGTGAATCGTCGAAAAAAATACGCCAATTTCGGAAATGTATTATAAGAAACTAAACATGAACCACAAATATGTGAAAAAACTACACCATCAATAGTGAAAGTTATTTTAAGAGGATTGGCATGAAAACACAAAAAATCATACAATCAGCTACACCCCTCTCTCAAAATATAAGGCTTTTCTCCATCATTTTATTTAAGAGCGGCTGTGCTGTGACTTGGTTTGACACTAGGATTTTAGTATACTCGTGGCGAATCGAAAGAAAAAAGGGCTTACACTCAGTTCAGCGCTTAAAAGGAAAGAATAGCTCTGCAAAAGTTTTCCGCAAAATTTGACAATGGGGTGTCTCTCCATGTTCCTCCTTTTTTATGGTACATAAAATTCGAGTAGATAACTCAGTTAAATGACAGGGAATGTGTGGTGGCAAGGGGAGGGGTGGTTTTTTGAAGGGAGGGAAATCGATCGTCGTAAATTGGCGCCGATGCACCGGTCTGTTGGATGGAGTAGGAGAGCGCTTAGAAATTAATGTCACGTGTATTCATAGGTTCTCATCCACTCAGCAACATTTACTGTATTGGCAAGTTTCATAGTTTTAAAACTCTTCATCCGACTAGTCTAAAAATATGCAGTCTCCTCGTGTATTATTTTCTTCTTGCCCTTGACTTGTTTCCTCTTTCATCATAAAAGTTTCAGTGCGGAGGGAATAGCCTTTCATTGCACTATTCCCTCCTTTGCTGAGTTCGCCGCTTCATTTTTGAACGCTGGGCTGATGCGTCTGCTGTTTTCCCTCTCTCCCTATCTCTTTTCTTTTTTCCTTTTTTTTATGGAAGAGATAAAAAAACAGTATCCAATCATAGTTATACCACTCTGTTTGAAATTGATTACTGTGGCTCAGACACTCGTGACAAGAGTGAAAAAGAGGGGCGGGGGCAGTATGGGGACGTAGACACTTTTTACCGGATAGGGCTGAAAGTTGCTGCTGCATTATTCCTAAAAATAAAGTTAATCATAGATCGTCTTCGATAGTGGTTCGACGTATCATTCAGTTCAAAACAATAGAACATAACCAAAATAAAAAAATTAGGATTTAATTTGGAAAAGCTGAAAATGAGGAAATGCCTAAAAATTTCACTTTGCATTACCATTTATTTTGGTATTAGAAAGAATACCAATTTAATCCCAAAAGACCCGTTACTTCAAATTTCTAAATTGAACTTTGAGACTGAGCCGGCCAGGTTGGCCTAGTGGTCAGCGCGTCTGACTCTAGGTCAATAGGTCTCGGGTTCGAATCCTGGTGGTGGCGACAAATTTTCACGGAACTGTCGAGTGGATCTGCAGAAACAGATTCTACTCGACCTTAATTCCTGAAAATTCGAAGCCTGGAGCATGGATGTGCCTAAAATCCTCTGATGTCTAAGGACACTAAATCTTGTCTATCGATGGCTGTAGATCCTAAGGGAGTACAAGCCAATAAACCAACAGAAAAAAAAAATTTTGAGGCTATGTTTACATTTTGAAACAATCGATATCGATACAATCTCACCTGTTTGATCAATCGAATACGATCTATTGATTCAAGATTTTCCCTGCGAATTGGAAGTCAGGCCAAAAGTCTTACACACATACCCATTTATTTACTCAGATTTTCCAGTTTCTGGGATTGCAGTATCATTATTACCAACAATGATAGCTTAACTAGCTTGTTAAGCTGTCTCGAGGTAGTTCGTTGTAATTAATTTCAGGGGCCGAAATTTGTTGGTTCCACCGTACTTAAATATCCTCGGGACGAGTCTCGGCTGCACTTATGCGCGGTTTAGCGCTGTTGATTGGCTGGTGGCGCGCTTTGGACTCATCGATGGATATTGCATCTCCATGTGAAAGAGCCAGAGACAAGAAAGAGCCGACAAAATTCGGCCCCTGTTGCTTTTAACGGAAACTCATAAAAACCATAGAAAGATATCTCGGCAACTTTGTGGTAAATTACCAAATAAATAAAATTGGGTGATGCTGAAGGTACTTACGTGGTTACTTTCAAAATTCTCCCACAGATGACGATGCTCATTTTTGCCTTCAGGTATTCAATGGCGCATTAAGGGGTTAGCTAAAGAAAAGTATCATAGGTCTTTTTTGTCAGACCATTCGGTCAATACGCCAATCATCAGTCACCCCTAAGGAAGCTAACTTTTGTTCCTAAAAAAGCCGCCTCTTACAATGCCGTGCTAAGGAAAAACACCGTATAAACCTTCAAACGTTACCAAATTTCCTCCAATAAAAATCAAATTCAGCGAGAAAATTGTGAATATTTGTTTTCAAAATTTTCACACAATATTTTACGTAATTTAATCTAAAATGTCTGAAAGTTTCAAAGAAAAATATGCATAAATTACGTCAAAAATACATGTTTTATCGAAGGAAATTTGGCGACTCTCAAATGTTCGTACGGCGTTCTTCCTTAGCACGGCAGTGCAGAGGAAGAGGCTGTCATTTTAATATCTCATCAAGGTCTAAATATCGTCGAGCAAAACGAGCCGACTTAAATAATCTTGAGGGAAGGTGGCTGCACAAAGAGTCCGTCCTAGGAATCGTCGATGGATGATGAATTTCAACACAACGTCAACGCAAAATTCGGGCTTTGTAGAGTCCCTTTATACTGAGAGTCAAGACAATTCGGCTCATGGATGTCACAAACGGGAATAAAGATTACAGAAATTGAACGTTTTTCGTAATCTTTGATCGGCCCATTCTCAAATGCCTTTCTCCGTTCCTCCTCTCATCCCGTTTGTTCCTTGCCGAACCCGTAATTCCCTGGTCCATTCCAGATTATAATCTTTGCAATTGGTGAAAATGTAATCTTTATTCCCGTTTGTGACACTGTGGAGGCCTAAAATACGGGGACCAATCAGAAATGGATTCAAATTGTCTTGACTCTCAGTATAAAGGGACTCCAGGGCTTTGGAAATTGACGTCTGATAGCGGCTTATTATCAGAACGTGTGTTTAGCCCAGAGCAAGATGAGAACGGACTGGGTCGTCACGTCACGTCGCTAATGTGACGGACCCTCGCGACGCAATGAAAGCGGGAAAAATGCGGCGGCGCCCCTCGAATCGTGGAGAATGTCTCGGAATCTAACCTACATTTTAAAAATAGTGTAATATATTAATAGCGTGGGTTCTTCTTCGTTGAGCGAAGATTGCCCGGAGCTTGGTTTCGTCCGGGAGGCACCCGCGACACATGTGTTTGGGTCCCGGTCCGGCGCTAAGCCCCGAAGAGTCGGTCAGTAAACAGAAACCCACCGGAGGGTTATGCCTCATAGTTGCGACGCAGCCCAATTCCCGAAGAACACCTAGCACCCCTCGAAGGGCTGCCTCCTGGGTTATATTTCAAAAGTAGAGAAATTGCAGGTGTCTGGAAGTATGACGCATTTCGTGTTTTAGTGGAAACTACTGAGTGGACTGAACACGAGAATACCCTTGGTTCATGAATTGAACAATTATTGGAGAAGATATGATAAAATGATCTAATCTGCTAAAATACATGTGTTTAAACGGGAAATGCCGCTAGATGACTTCACTAAGCGGTGCATTTTCTCACTTTTAAATCTATTTTTATACTATTTCCCATATCAGAAAAAAATTGCAAAAAAATACTGCGAAATCAGCTCTTTAAGCACTTTCAGATGAGGCAATAAAAAATTTGCATGCAAATACTCTAATGTGCCGACAGCCGTAAAAATAATGAAAATTTGCCATTAAGAAATCAGGGAGTCAGAGGCCGTAAACATGATAATATGCTTTAATGCTACGTAGGCACTATTTGAAGAGTTCTATAAGTGTATCAATGTGTCACAATGCTTGAAACAATCAGGGCTCATTGGGACTCCCGCATTAACACTCATAAAGGTGTTGTAACAAGGCACTCTTGGATTGCCGGCGAACAAAGTCGTACATTGAACCGTTGACTAATTTTTTACTTTAATGTAGCTCAACTATTTTATATTCAGACTCTTAAGTTTCAAGCTAGTTTCCCTCGGTAACTGATCAGTCAAACCAAATTTCATTATGTACTAAGTTTTATTCGTGCCAAAACCAGCCCTAATTACCGATCTACTTTATAATACATCAATTTTCTCTCAATACTCCCTTCCTCTTTTTTATTCGTATTTTTTTAATTTTGATAGGCAATTCTCAGAAACCTTTGCGCGAACTCTAGTTTACGTTGTTGGAGCGCCTGCAATTTCGTATGATACTGTACATACAACACCTCTATTGTAAAATAGTTGCTTGAGGCGCCGTGGCACGTTGCGGTACGGCGGGCGGGCGGCCAGTGGGAACCGCGCACCGGCGCCTACAAACCTAAGGGGATACTCCAAGCATTGCGCAATGCGTGAAGTATCCCCTTAGGTTTGTAGCTGTCAGTGCGCGGTTCGCGCCGGTAGCATGCCACTCCGCTCGCGCTTGCTCTGTGTTAGGCTCTAACATTTAAAATCGCGGAGTCAGCGTTTTTCAACTCATGATTACGAAATGTTTGCACTCTCTGTATGGATTATGCTCATTTAAATTGATGAAAAAAAAAAAAAAAAAACTATGTGTTAAAGGGAAATATAATGATGGTTTGAAAATTTCCGGGAAAAAAATCGATATTTTCGATATGAAAAGATCCGTCAAATTGATATTTGCCTTTCAATAGCACTAACACTCAAACCCCGACCTAAAGTTTTCTAGTCTTTAATCCGAAAACTATTAGCGAGGTACCATTATATTTTAGTATCGTGTCGAGATCAGCGCGGGATTTATGACAGGAACATTTGTCTCTGTTTGTAAACAATCCAGTATTTGATGAATATATTCTTCCGCGATTCTTTTCAAGTTCAATGGGTGAGGTGGAGGATCAGAGGAGAAGAACGAGATCCAACCTTGATTTTTAACGGACGAGTTAACTTAATGACAGTTTTTACGACTG